CAACGTCATCAGACAATCCATTGATTTGGATCCTCATCAGGTTAAACCGCCTGACATATGACCGGAGCCCCTCTTTGTCTCCCTGTTGTATTGCCCCTAGATCAAGGCTTGTTTTCTTGGCAGGGATGTTCATAGAAAAGTTGGACGTAAACCAGTAGGCCAAGGTCCTGAAATTATTGATGCATCCGGCTGGGAGGTTACCAAACCAACGTTGAGCAATCCCTTTCAACGTTGCCGGGAAGCACCGGCACCATGCGGCATCATCCAAACCCTGCAAATACATCAGGTTGGTGTATGCCATAAGGTGATCTTCCGGGTTGGTGGTACCGTCGTAGGCACCTACCAACACATTTTTGATTTTAGACGGCTGGGTCATCTCGGTAATTTCCCTGGAGAACGCCGTTGGCTGTTCCCCAAGGTTGAGCAGCCGGAGCTGCCAGTCCATAGGCTGGACGGGCGACTGATGCTGCCCCCCGAAAATACCTGCCTGTGCATAGGGGGATCCAAAGGGCGTATACGGTGTTCCATGCACTGCCGGTTGGATCATATGGGGGCCGGATCGAGCGGAAACCTCGCTCGTCCGGCTGTCATTGTTTGTTCTCGAGTGCCTTTCTGAGGTGACATTGAAGCTGTCTCGAAAGGTCGATGTTGATGCCGACTCGGATCGCTGAGTCTTTTTATCTTGGATGAGCGTCCGGGCATCAGAATAGACTTTCTTGGTTCCATCCGGCTGAATGTGCCGGACGGGCTTTCTGACTCCATCTATAGGAGTGTGCATCTTTGAGAAATCAAAGAGCCTAGCTGGCATGTCTGACTTCGGATGTGGGGTAGATGCTCTACCCTTGACTGTTTTGGCCGTCTTTTTACCGTGACGCCTTTCTTCCGCCTGACCCTTACGGGGGCCGGCTGTGGAATCCAGAAGGCCTTTGATCTCTCCTTTGAAGCTCATCATCATATTCATGAGCTCATCTCTGGAGACTGGGGAGTCTCCAGCGGTAGAGGTTAACCCAAGCGGCCCCCTAGTTGGCTTGCTAGGAGCCGCCTGGTTCCCTTCCCGTTCTCTCTTATCCTTGGAACGGGTGTTCTTGGTCCTCAAAGAACCATCTGCAGCAGTGTAGGCTTCCAAGTCATAGTTATCGGCTGTATCTTGGTCCGAATGGACCTCAACCTCCCCAGTAGGCATATTGCTTTTACCAGGTAGTATAGGCTCAGATGTCATCTAGAAAGTACTCTCCCCACAGACGGCGCCAGATGTTTGGGGGTTTTCTGTGTCCTTCGGGAGAGTTACAATTTCCTAGCATACTTCCTTCTTACGCCTGTACTTGCACCTAGCCGACTTCCTTCTTGCGCCTGTACCTGCACAAGTAACGGAGACTCCGGATGGGGGGTGGGAGTTCCGCCTCCGAAGATTAAGTTAGTATCTTTTCGAAGTGGAATAAGAACTGTAAAAGCTTCTCGGTACGAGAGCGTTTCAGTAGGTTTAGGCTTTGTTTGGTTTTTTGTGGTTGCAATTAATGTCCGTCCCTCATAAATGAGGTCTACCCTTTCTATTTATAGTAAGGGAGAACTGTACCTCAATAAGGGTATAAGGGACACGTGTCTGCAAAGGAAATGGGCCTTTGCAGACTGCTGAAAGATTGACACGTGTCAAGCATTTATTGGGCCACGCGTCTTAGGTATTTTCACCCTAAACAGGTTCGAATCCCACATAGGTTCATTTGTACAATATCGAGACGAGAGTTTAGCTGTAACAAAGTGGAACAGTCCTTCACCATCTGAACTAAAGTCAAGCGTGGTATACACTCCATGGAAACAAGGAGGAAGGCTTATGGAAGCTGGTTTGGGGTATGGAAAGACTACTTAAACTACGACACTTCGTCTTGGGGGCTTGTAAGGGTAGTATTGCTATGAAAAAGAGGTTTACCATCCCCATATTGCTGCTGATAGCGTGTGCCAGGGATGTGGGGCTGCTAGTGAGACTATTTTACATGCTATTTTTGAGTACCATGGTGTTGTTGTAATATGGGCTCAGAGTGAGTATGTGGGGCTGTTAGTTGATTTTCCAACCTCTAGTTTTTTTAGCATCTCATGTGGGTGACTGATAGGATTGGCAAAAAGGAGCTTAGCAGTTTTGTATATGCTGGCTTAGGCATCTTGGTTCTGTAGAAACGAACGTTTGCATCAAGGACCTGTGTCTGATCCTATTCAGGTTGCTTAAAATTACTTAAAGATGCTTGCTGATTATATAGAGTATGCTCAGCGTGTATTTAAGCCTGCTACCTTTTTCGTTTGCTAGTGAGACTATTATACATAAGCATGAAACATTTAGAACATAGGGGAAAAAAATTTAGAACATAGGACAAAAATTTAGAACATAAGCAAAAAAAAATATTAACATCAACAAAAAAAATTTAAACATCAACAAAAATAAAATATTTAGAATATAGGAAAAAAATTTAAAACATAAATATAACAAATTTAGAACATAGAAAAAAAATACTACCTCCGCTAACAGTTATTTGCAATGATGGAACATTTTTCCTCTCTACTTTATGTCAAATCGTTGCAAATAACTATTAATGGAGATAGTATTTAGAACATTGTGCAAATTAAATGATGTTTTATAAACATTAGCCTACTAGCTCAAATGGTAGAGCATTGTGCAAAAGCACAAAGATGTGGATTCGAATCCCACGTAGGTTCATTTGTGAAAATGAAAGTTTTGTATAAGAGTTTAATTGTAACATAGTTTCCATTTAGAGATAACCTATGTAGGAATCGAACCTACATCCTTATGCATTTGCATAGTGCTCTACCATTTGAGCTAATAGGTTTTAGCAAACTAACAATTAAAAAAATGGTACAAAACTTACAATAACTCTATGTTCTAATGTTTTATCCCTAGGTTCTAAATTAGTTTAAGTTGTCTAACTATGTTCTAGATTTTTTTTTTCTAGATATGTTCTAACTTTTTTCCTACGTTGTATCAAGGGGTGTACACCGGTCCAAAACCGGACCGGACCTGGACCGGACCTGTTTGGACCGGGGACCTGAATTGGGTAATTATGAGGACCGGGGACCGGACCTGAATTAACAGGTCCGGTTCCGGGCCAGACTTGAAAAATCAGGTCCGGTCCGGGTTTGGACCTGAATGGACCTGTTTTGTGTCTTTTTCGTTTTTTTTTTTTTTTAATACAAAACCTGTTGGACCTGCATATGGACCTGCATATGGACCTGTTTTGTGATTTTTAGACCTGTTGCATAATTTAATAATTACATACAAACCAAAATTATCAATTACAAAACTACATAAAGTCTATAAAGTCCCGATTCTCAAACACCAAAAATACAAATGAGTCCACCGAAAATACAAATAAGTCCACGAAAACTCATAAAATTACATGAATTCTCTTAAGTCTCAACTCTCAAGTACTAGGAATACATAAATTCTCCAACGAGTTGTTTTCCCTTTGATCGCGTGATTCACACTAATGAGTCCACGAAAACAACTTCATCGTCTACATCGTTAGATTCACCACGTTGCACCTCTAAATAAAATACAATATAGAATATATTAATGATTGATAACAATGAAATAATAAATTTGGTGTAACAAAATTTCAAATACATAAAATTATTACTACCTTTCTCTATTTCCTCTAACTCTTTCAAATTTTCTTCCACATCAACAATTGGCACTTCCTTAGCTCTAAGCCAATCTTGTGTGCAAAGTAACGCTTGAACCATCTTCAATACAAAAATATTACACAAATATGTATAAACAAAGTCATATTAAGATATAAACAGGGTGAGTCAATCAGAGATATAAAATTTGACGAGGAAGCTATTTGGGTTCATCTCGATGAGGTAACTCTGAACTTATGTGAGATTAATGACGTTAAACCAATGCTTACTCTGGCTGGAAACATTCTGTGTATTGATGACCCCACTCCACGATCAATTAGATGCTTAGTTAGAGTAAAACTTTAAATTCATGTTTTGGAACCATTATTATCTGGTTGTTACTTGGACCTTGGACAATCTTGAGTGTAAATGGATTAATTTCAGATATGAGAATTTGTTTATTTTGTGCTCTAGGTGTAATAGAGTTGGCCATAAGCAGATACTTTCTCTTTGAATCCTTATATGTCTGTTCCTTTTTTGGTTGACAAGAGTGGGTTATGTAAATCTGCTATATTGCTTGCCCAGAATCTCTCAAACATGAATATTGGCCTAAAGAGAACTGAAAAATTTAGAACCACAGTGAATCTCAAGAGTTTTTTCAAAACCATCGACCAACCTCAACCCCAGAACATTCAATCCAACAAAAGACCCCGTGAGTTTGCTACTCCATCCTTCTCACCTTTGAAAAGGAGGAAATCACAATCGGAACCAACAGTACACATTTAACCTTGCTCCAAATGAATCGAGCCAAACACCAATCCAACCCAATTTCTCAATCCACAAAAAACCCCTACACGCTCCGAAACAGAACCAACATTGCCCTGACTCCTTTCAACCACTCCAAAACCCCCTCCAATATAAAACACCACCCAGCCACCCCGAAAACCCATCTCCACTCTCGGTGACCCTACCAGCCACCACGAAAACCCCATCTCCACTCCCGACAACCCCATCAACATTCACAATTTTCCATCCAGCCATCCCAAAAACCCCAGCTCACCACCCCAACCCACCCCACCCCACCCCACTGCCACCCCTTAACCCTTAACCCCCACACACCAGAACCGTACCACCGTAACCCCACCATAACCCCACCCCAACCCACCCTACCACACAAATTTTCGCACTAAATTAATCTTAATAATCATAATAAACACAAAATTTCGAACTAAATTTCGCACTTGAACCCTAAACCCTAAACTTCTTAATTCTTATGAACCCTAAACTCAAAAAAACCAAAAAAAAAAAAAACAGAAATTCGAAAGAGATGAACTAAAAATAAGAAATTCAACATGCAAACATCAAACAATCATTAAAAGCAATTGAAAATTTGAAACAAGAATAAACATATAAATTCTCACACTTAATTTATTATTTCGAATTAAAAATACCAAAATTATAAGCAAATACTTACCAGATATTATCGGTGTGCATCGCCTGAGAGAATGAGGGAGGTGTCGGCAGTGGGCGGTGGCCGGAGCGAGTTGGGACAGCCGGACAGCCGCGTTGAGAAGTTGAGATTGAGGGAGGCTGAGAGTTTGGGCTTAGGGAGTTAGGGTTAGAACTTAAAAATATGAAAGAGATTGAGGGGGAGGCTGAGAGAATCAGATATTTTCTTGTTTTTTTTTTTTTTTTTTTTTTTTTAATTACGATTTCCCGGGTTTCAGGTCCGGACCTGAAAACCCCGGGTTTGGACCGGGTCCGGACCGGGACCGGGAACCTGGATTTTTAAGAACCGGGACCGGACCTAAATCAACAGGTCCGGGTCAGGTCCGGTCCGGTTCAGGTCCGGGCCAATTTTTGTACACCCCTAAGTTGTATGGTTTTAAACCTACGTTATAATATTTTATCTATGTTCTAATTTTTTTCTATATTCTAATTTTTTCCTATGTTCTAAATTTTTTCTACCTATGTTCTAAAGTTTTTTTTTTCCTATGTTCTAAATATTCTTTTACCTATGTTCTAATTTTTTTTTTTCCTATGTTCTAAATTTAGTCTACTTATGTTCTAAGTTTTTTTTTTTTCTATGTTCTAAATTTTTTCTACCTATGTTCTAAAGTTTTTTTTCCTATATTCTAAATTTTTTCTTATGTTCTAAATATGGGCTTTTAATTTTTTCCTATGATCTAAATTAATCTTATGTTCTAAACCTATGCTCTAAATTTTTTTCTATGTTCTCCCCTGCAGCCGCTAAACCTTCACCACTCCCTCTCTTATCCTACACCGCATCTCCAATCCACACCCCTTATTCATAGCCACCCCAATTCGGCCTACCCCCTGCTGCTCCCTCACGCAAAACCCTCCACCTCTCCCAGCATCACCAACCTTCTCATTCCTCTGCCACCAATCATAGCCACCAATCATAGCCAACAACCACCACCAAATTTACCTATGTTCTAAATATTCTTATACCTATGTTCTAAATTCTTTGAGTTATCATAATATTCAGAAATGAAGATAAGAAGCTAATGCCCTCCCTTTCATTTCCTTTCATGTTATGTTTCATTGCTATTTTAATGCTGATCAGATCATGGGCTTAAAAAAGTTTAGAATCTTACAGGTTTAAAATCATACTGTTTTTGTTTTTTTTTTTCTTTTGTATTCTTATCAACTTGAGAGTTGGGATTTCCTTACCTATTTAGATGAATTCAAATTACAATAATACTTCATTACTTAACCATTTAACTAGATATGAATGCTCTTCACTCCCTTTTTAGACAAATAATTCACTATGTTGCTTCAGGTCTCGGCTAAAGACACCCATATGGCAAACATGCTGTTGAACTATGTGCTCGTCTAAAGACAAATAATATATGTATGTTCTAAATTATTTTCCTATGCTCTACATTTTATTGTTTATGTTCTAAATTTTTTTGTCCATGTTCTAAATATATATCCTATCTTAAAATTTTTTGTCTGTATTCTAAATTTATTTCCTATGTTCTAATTTTTTTCCGAATGCTTTAAATTTTATCCTATGTTATAAATTTTTTCTACCTATTTTCTAATTTTTTTTTTTCCGTACGTTCTAAATTTTTTCTATCTATGTTCTAAATTACTTTACTAGTCTATGTTCTAAACTTTATCTTATGTTCTAAACTTTTTCACCTTATGTTCTAAATTTTTTCACCCTATGTTCTAAATTACTTTCTTGTGTTCTAAATGTTTAGTACATGTTCTAAACTTATTTTCTATGCTCTTATTTTTTTCCCAATGTTCTAATTTCCTATGTTCTAAATTTTTACTATATTGCAAATCACTTTCTTATGTTCCAAATTTATCCTATGTTCTAAAGTTGTTCATATATTCTACACCTATGTTCTAAAGTTTTTTTTTTTCCTATTTCTAAATATTCTTTTACCTATGTACTAAATTTAGTCTACTTATGTTCTAAAGATTTTTTTCCCTATGTTCTAAATTTTTACTACTTATGTTCTAAAGTTTTTTTTTTTCCTATGTTCTAAATATTCTTTTACTAATGTTCTAATTTTTTTTTCTATGTACTAAATTTAGTCTACTTATGTTCTAAAGTTTTTTTTTTTCCTATGTTCTAAATTTTTTCAACGTATGTTCTAATTTTTTTCCTATGTTTTAAATTTTTTCTACCTATGTTCTAAAGTTTTTTTTCCAATGTTCTAAATATTCTTTTACCTATGTTCTAAACTTTTTTCATATGTTCTAAATATTTTTTCCTATGTTCTAAATTTTTTCTACCTGATTCCTAAAGTTTCTTTTTAGGAAGCATGGTCTTTCAGCTTGTGATCCAAAAAATTGAAGAGAAACCTAGAAAACAGTGAAAAAAACCCTTGAATCAACACGTATCTTTTACACGAACTCTATTACAAAGAGGGTTCAGCAGCAAAAACAACAACTTTTATAGCATTTTTTGCTTCTCTCACAATTAAGGCAATGGCACCAGTTTATGGTCCAGAGCATTTGTATCTTCACTTAGTACTCAATTATTACAGTTATCCATATTACCAGGGATAAGCAACCAGTGATCACTAATAAAGACAGGGAACTTGTCCACATTACTAAAAGTAAATCCTCAATTATTCAAATTTTCACTTCACTGGTTTGTCCTTCAGTTTGCAGATAAAAAAATTACCCCTCAAATCTAAGAATCTAATTATGGATGCCCACTGCCTGGCACCCAGTACAAGAACCACTCAAATACCATTTCTATGTCAATAAAAACCCAAATTCAAATGCTCAAGAATGATCAGTTCAACAGTTTCCTCCAATATGAAAATACAATAAATGCAACTTAAGTAATTTCAAACACTAATACATAGCCAGTCTGACAGCATCATATTCAATTCTCCACATTAACAAAATCTGATGCTAAAGCTAAACGGACTCCTAGTCTAAAACGGAAACCCAAACAGACTGCTGAAATCATATGAGCACTAGGACAGCAAATGTATTTCCTTTTTCCTCTCCGATTAGGGAACCATATAAGTAGACTCATCGTTTAGGAACATTTGAACCAATTTAACATGTAGTTTACAAAGTACAACTATTACACTGCACTTAATTACAAAAATGTGCCCTTCAAATAGCAAAGCTCACTTGCATTTAGGTATTCACTCAACCTATTTATTCAACCTGAAGGATCCATCACATAAAACAGACCTTAAGACCACAGAAAGGTCAAAAGCTAAACACCCTAAATTGCTAATGATCAACACTAACAATAATAATCACCAAATAGTCCTATTATATATAAGATCACTATTGCAAATTTGCAATTGCAACTTTTGTCACATTGTTAAAAGCTTAGTTCAAATTCTCATTAAGCAGAAACAAAACATTAAGCATTACATGAACATGAACACACCAATCCAACGCGTAGTTTTGTCCTGAATTCCGATATTCACCCAATTTCACTATCATTCCAGACAGAAATTGAAAACCAGATAAAAACAACCACCACACTTAACTCCAAAATTCCAGCACCAACCAAGCAACAACATAGAACAAAAGACACCATCCAGACAAAGACACAGCAAGCTTTGCCAGATCACAGCACCAACAAAGAACCAACAGCAATTTAAAAAATGGCTCAAAAAACGCCCAACAAAACCACACACAAATCGCACAAAAAATGGTAAAATGACGAAAAAAAATCAAACAATAATAATCAAGAGTAACACTGAAATTACCTAATATTTCCAGCCTTAAAATCGCTGTAGTTTGAACTCTTAAATCGCCAAATTTTGAACCCTAAATTGCCGAAAATAAATGAAAATCAAATCAGAAAAATGCAAAATCGACTTGTCTCATGCGGAATTCATGAATCAAATCTTAAAATCGCATAAATCACATCGCAAAAATCAAATCATAAAAATCGCAAAAAATAAAATCGCAAAAACAAAATCGAAAAATCTACTTGAATATCATGCGTTTTTCATGAAAATTTGAACAAAATCGAAAAAAGAAAGTACCTAATTTGAGCAATTTAGGTTGTTTATGTAAAATTTGAACAAAAAATTGCAGGAATTTGTGTTCGAATTTGGGATTTGAGGAGAGAGAAAGACAATAGGTTTGAAAGTTTGAGGAGAGAGAAAATTTTGGACGGTGGGTTAGGTGTTTGAGGAAGGATACTTGTTTTAATCTTAACCGTCCAAAATTACTTAATCCTACGGTTGAGATTGGTTCTTATATAACTAGGGTTCTTATATAAGGAGGGGTTCTTACCGGATCCCTCCCCTATATATATATATATATATATATATATATATATATATATATATATATATATATATATATATATATGGTCAAATGAGAAGGCCCTTATAATGAGAAGGATGAGAAGTGATCTAATGCGTACAAATAAAATGGTTTAATGACCCTTATTGCATGTTTCATTAATGGCAAATTAAAACTGTAAATAACATAAAAATTTCTTTTCTACAATTCCCTCCTCTTTCCCTCGTTCGTTTCCCTCTCTTTCTTCCACATTCATCAATCTTCCCTTTTTTTTTTCTCTGTTTAGAAGATCCAAAAATAAAATCCCCCAATTTTTTCTCTCTCATCTCTGATCCTCTCTTTTCCCCATCTTTTCTCTCTCTCTCTTCTCCATGATCATCTCATTTCAAGACCTTTGTTCTCATATTTGAAAAAAAAAAAAAAAAAAAAAAATCCATAACTTCAGTTTGTGAGTCGTGGACAATAGCTAGAATATAAGACATTGAAGCAAAGAGTGAAATTTAATTAATATTGTGCAAAATTTTTAAGCTATATGTGCATTATTCTAGTAAAAAATGTGCATATTTTAAATGTTATGTGCATAATTGTTAACGAAGATGTGCAGATCGAGCTCTTTACAAAAGACGCATATTTTAGTTACGGGGTTTGTCGCTCATAACCACAATAACTTAATCATATCTGAAATTAGAACTTCAAATAAGCTTTGATGGAGGAAAGAGAAAGAGTTTTGCGGTGAAAAGAGAAAACGAAAAGTAAAAATGAATGTGCATTATTTTTTAATTAAATGTGCATAACTTTTGTATTAAATTTGCAAATATTTTTTGCTGAATGTGCATTTTACACGGGTAAAATGTGAATCGTTGGATTCATTTGTACGATCAAGATTCCTTCTCATTCTTCTCATTTTAAGATCCTTCTCATTGGAACACAACCATATATATATATATATATATATATATATATATATATATATATATATATATATATATAGATCATGTGAGAACCAATGTCTATAGTAGGAACTAATAACTCATCGTGACCGTTGATCGCTCTCAATCAAAAGGTTCACGTTTCACCCGCCTTTTCAATCTTATTATGGGTATTTTTGTAATTTCTTCGGTTGAATGACCTCCCTTTTGATTCATGCGTCGCTTCATTTTCTTTTTTCTCTTCTTTAGATTTTCTATCTCTTCCTCCCAATTCTCTAAAGAGGCGATATTTTTTCTTCGCTCTTCCATTTCTTCGCTCTTTAATTTCTTTGCTTATGCTCATCAATTTTTCCCGATAATATGTTAAGGTATGTAAATTTCGGTTTAATTTTGAATTTTTCTTGATTTTGAAACATGTTTTTGCGATTTTGATTGCGAAAATTAGGGTTTTTGCGAAAATTTGGTTATGCCGTTTTCAATTGGGAAAATTCGATTGACATGCTTGTTTCTGAAGAGGTAATTTTTTTGATTTTTTAAGATTTCAAGTATGAAATTAGGGTTTTCGTTATTTTTAGTTTGAGCAATTTGCAATTTTGTTGCGATTTTGTTGAGTATTCTTGCGAGTTTTTAGTCCAAGGTAGAGTATTAAATTTAAACTTTATAGTCGATTATTTGTAACTAGGTTTTCGGTTGAGATCATAGAAATCAATCTGAATTTTATTTATTTTTTGTGTTTTTTCATTTTATAGTTTAATGGTATATCTATTTACTTTAATCTTACGCCTTTCTTTATTTTGATGGTTTGATTTGTTGGTGTTGTATTTTTTATGCGTGTATTAGTAGCTCTAATGCCTGAGTCTTATATAGAGAATCTGGATGCACCCCCACCTTTGACCAAGTAAATGGTCTAACCTAGATTTCTGATTTCAGTTTATGACTATGATTATTGGTTAGCCTTGTTTGCAATAGCTTTTGGGATGAATCCTACTTGAATTCTGCCAGCTAGTTATTGAGCCTCAGTTTTGTTGATCATGAGAACATTCTACATCAGTTTCATGATACAGATAAGGAGGTTATTGTATTTAAAATAAAGGAGAATGATTTCCTCTTACTCTACCTTTTCAAGGAGTTCTTTTAGTGGATGGCTGGGAAAATTGACAAAGCCCAACTTAGGGTGTGTGCTTCACTTGCTTGGGAAGCTTGGCATTGCAGAAAAGAAGAAATTTTTGATGACAATGCTGCTGGTAATGGGGTGGCTATGGCTGCTGGTTTTGTATCCTTCTGCGAGGATTATGTGGTGTATAATGCTAAAGTAGGAGGGTGCATTGTCAGTGGGGCGAGTCCTGCTTTGTGTAAGTGGCTCCCTCCATGATCTGATCATGTAAAGAACAATGTAGATGTGCATGTGCTTGGTGAGAATGGTGTGAGCCTAGGGGTGGTAATCAGAGATAAAGCGAGGAAGCTGCTGCTGACTGCTGTGAAAAGACGCTGCTGCAGATGGCCTCCTGAGCTTGCTGAGGCTGCTGGTACGGTCTATGGGCTGGAACTGGCTGCAAGAAGGGGGTACTCAAAGGTTGTGTTAGAGTATGATGCTGTGAACGTTGTGCAGGCTATCAATCAGAAACAGGAGGGTGCAGCCCCAATATTTCTATTCTTTGAAGCTGTTAGTGATTGGAGAAATGCTTTTGTCTCTTTTAGTTGTTCTCATGTTAAGCGGGCGTGAAACATGGTTGCTCATTTAGTAGCTCGATGGGAAACCGATGATAATTGTGAACGTGTTTGTACGGAAGATTTTCCCCAAAGTTTTCAATCTTTGGCGGAGATTGATTTAATATAATTCCCGTTCCCCGTTTGATTCAAAAAAAAAAATACTATAAATGCTACAATTGGAGCCATTTCATGTATATTTATTATTTTTATGAGCATGATATACAAAGGCTCAACTATAAATCTTATCTCCTTTATTTATGCTTAATAATTAAGTACGAAAATGCTTAGCCTTTTCTATGAGTAAGCCTGATAAGCCTATTCTACTCTACGTATGATTGTGGGCTGCTGTAAAGAAACTAAAAATGATTGATTGTGTTAACGAATTATTCTTACTCTATAATAGCCTACTTGCTCAATAGGTAGAGCATTATGTAAGTGCACAAAAAATGTGGGTTCAAATCCCACGTAGGTTTATGTTTGTAATCTGAAGATCAGAAGTCGTAATGTTTTATTAAATTTCTCCTTTTTCTTTTTTTTTTTTTTTTTCTTTTTTTTTTTTGTTTACTTTTGATATAGTTTTATTTACTTTTAATTTGAAAATCTCTACATCATATCGAACATATTATATTTGTTTCTTATAATTTGACTCATCTTGTAAGGATATGAAAGTCAATGACTCTGGGATTTTGTGCTATAACAAAGTTTCAAGATAATTTATTATGCTTTCGCAGTTATTTTGATTTACTTTAGAGATATATTCATTTACTTTTCTAGTTTTTCTACTTACTTTTGAAAGATTTTGATTTACTTTTGAGGTATTTTGAATAAATTTAGAGTATTTTATATTTACTTTAGAGATAACATATGTAAGAATCAAACCTACACCTCTATGCATCCGCATAGTGCTCTATTTGAGATAATAGGTTTACTTTATAGCTTGTTTTATTAACTTTATATTATTTTTTATTTACTTTTAGAGACATTTGATTTATTTATCCCCACCCATATTTCTTTCTGCTTCACAATTACCAGCATTAGAATTAGGATAAATCAAACATCTTTCATCAAATGAAGAGTCAGGATTACTAGGAACAACACAATTCAACTCGAGTTTACCATTCGTACAACCATCATCATAACTTTAGGCTTATCAACATCAGTGTTAGCAGTAACACAATCTTTGTAAATTAAAGACACTATCTTATCAGCAAGCTTTATTGGGTAATAAGGGCACAAACAAATGTATTTTGATAAAGTAGAGCTTTGATCAGATGTAAATAAGTAACGTTGATAATGTAGGAAAATAAGAAACACAAGACTACCATAGGACAAAAGAAGCTCATTTCTCATTTCTCACTTTCAATTATTTCATTATACATAGAATTTTTTTGATATTCTTTTTAATTTGCTTTTGGTATTATTTTATCTACTTTTAATTTAAAAACCTTTACTATAAGCTCCATATATTATATTTTCTTATAACTTCTTTTTTTTTTTTTTTACCAAAAACAGCAGCAATATTATTAAGGCAAAGAAGCACAGTCAGCAATTACAACACTAAGTACCTCTACAAGTACTTCCTCCATCCACACTTTCATGATCAAAGGACTTGCTTAATCTAGCTACTTTATGTACAACAATATTGCCTTTTCTCTATATATGAGAAAAAACCATAGAAGAACACAAAGAAGAAAAACACATGTCTTTAATTTAACGATCGGACAGAAGGTAGTAGGTTCAAAAATGCGCTGCTACAAGTGCTTGATCAATTTGATGATATCATATAAGAAGGGAACAAAGCAAGATTAGCTACATTGAAAAAAAAAAACACAAAAAATGGCTCTTTTATTGTTTTAATTATTGTGACATCAGAAGAGAGAGCAAGTCCTATTTCATCAGTAAGGACTATGAGTGTTTTCATTTACCTTTTAGTGTTTTTTATTTTCTTTTGAGTGTTTTTCATTTACTTCAATTTTTGAAGCTATAAAATTCGCCAATTACTCCAGTACAAAATCCCAAAAATAAATGACATGAATAACTTGGTACATGCATCTGACAAGCTAGCTAAACAAACTATAAGCCAAATTATGCTAAGTTTACTTTAAAAGCAAGGCATTTATAATTGATAAGGAAAATAGTATAGCTAAACAAACTATTACCCAAAACTAGCTAACTTGCACAATCCAACGAGCTAGCTGGCCTGCACTACTCAAAATCCCAAAGACTTTGCTATATCAACAGCCTAGCCGAATTAGTAGGGTTTACCAATCAACATGTGAACTTCAGTTAATTCAATCACACAAAACAACAACAAAAATTCATTTAAAAAACTTAAGTAGACAAAATAACAATGCAACAGAGTAAACTGAAACTAAAGTTTAGTTTCACTTTTCTTCTCTGATAAGAGCAAACACAATCTTCATTTCTCTGATTGCTCATATATTATAAATTATAGTTTTAGATTTTTCAATTTTTTTTAATAAAATATACGGATTTTTCACCAAATACCACTGAGTTCTTTCGTAATTCACCATATACCACACAAAATTTTTTAATACACCAAATACCACTGAGTTTTTGGTAAATGTCACAACATACCATTAATGACTAACGGACGTTAACACCGTTAGTCATTAAGGCTAATAATTCCACGTGGCAGCTTATGATTGATTCCTTTATAAATTATTTAATTAATTAAAAAAAACCAAAAAAATGACAAAAATTAATAAAAAAAAATAACAAAAAATAATTAAAAAAAACAAAAAAAAAAACTTGCTGCCACCACCAAATACCAATCTCTCAACTTTCTTCCATCTCCATTTCTTGATTGACCATTGCAGAATATCAAGCTCCAATTCCCAGAAAAGCATCAAACTACAATGGGGCTATTATCAATGGCACTCGTGATTTTTTCCCTATTCTTCATGTTTTCTCTTCTTGGTCTTCTCAATCTTCTCTAAATCGCTCAATTTCCCTTTTCCTTTACTCAATTTGATTCTTCTATCCTCTTTTCTCGAAGAATTTCTACTTTTTCATCTCCATTTGAAGGATTTAGATGGAATTGAGAATCGTTATTATGATTTAATGCTTGTTCCGATTGCAATTTGTGTGTTTTCTACTATGATTGAATTGGTTTCCCCAAATTTTGGAATTCCTAAATTGGGTCGTGGGTTAGGGTTAATCTTGAAGGGGACTTGGTTTGTGCAAATGGGGTTTTCGTTTTTTCAGATTTGATTGCGAATAATTGTGCTTTGCATTATAAGAGTAGAGGGAATTATACGATCAATGGTAATGGTCATATGGATACTCATCATGGTGGGCGATTGCTGTGCTTTTGTTCAATTTGTCATCTTGCTTTTCTTGTTACTGTGATTTGTGGAGTGTATTCGTGTTTTGGAAGAAGGTTTGTTGTTGAGGGTAATTACTCGAGTTATCGGCTTCAATGGATTCTTCCGCCATGGATTTAGACGACGAACTTGAAGATCATCACCAGCAGCAACAAGACGACATCACCATTCATCAAATTCATCAATTACGCAAGCTCCATGGGTGGGTTTTGGTCGGGTTTTGGGTTTAAATGGGTGGGTGGTCGCGACGGGAAAGAGGAGGGGAAGGGGATGGTCGCCGGCCGGCCGGGAAGTGGGCTGTAAGTGGGCTGGTGGCATCAGTGGTTGAGTTGGTGGTGGTATTTTTTTTAATTTTTTTTTAAAGTTAGTTAATTAAATAAATAAACATTAATAATCACCAATTACAAGCTGCCACGTGGCATAATTAACGTTAATGACTAACACCGTTAACGGAAATGGTATGTTGTGACATTTACCTAAAACTTAGTGGTATTTGGTGTATTATAAAATTTTGTGTGCTATATGGTGAATTACGAAATAACTCAGTGGTATTTCGTGAAAAATCCGTAAAATATAATTGGTATACTTTTAATAGGTTTCAATCTACTTTTGAAATTGATATATAAATAAGAAACATAAGCATAAGTTAAATTATGGTTAAGTTTCAGCTTCAATACATAGTAATTTACTAGTGGTTAGAATCAAGCTCTAGTTACATTTTACTACTCAATCAACACTCCTCAGTTTTTCCTCTCTCAATTTCTCCTCTGTAAACAGCAAAACAAAAAAAAAAAAAAAAAAAAAAAAAAAAAAAAAAAAAAAAAAAAAATCAAAACTAGAATTGAGCTCCAAATTTCAACACAAATAAGCTAAAAATATTCAAAAAATCATATAGATTTAATTGTTAAAAACTCATCATACGAATTCACTCAATTCACATAGATTTGTTGACAAACTCACCAATAAACTTGAAAGCCAGTGCTTTTAGAACTAGTTTTTTAGGAATTTTAGCAACAAAATCAATCACTACAACCATTTATAAAATCAGAAATTATAAATAAAAGCTCGAATTTCACTACAATGAACCCTAAATTGACTAAATAATTAGCGATGATTCATAGATAGCTTCAAAATTCACCATAAAACAGTTATAATCACTAAGCTAAGCTGACAAACGCACCAAATTGTTGACGAATTTGCAAATATATGCTGCAAATTGATAGGATATATAATCTGATTAGGCGAATTAAGTATTAAACCCTAAACATTGATTTATACGAAATTTTCAATGCTTACCTCTAACGTCGAGAAATTTTGCAACGGATTCGGCACAATATCGAAGAAGTATGTAAATTGTAGCAACTTTTTCTGATATTGGAGCTATTGATTGAATTGGGGAAACTTGAATAATGTTTATTTGTGGTTAGAACTCCGTGAAACTAATTCAATTCGTCTTATTTAATATGGGCCGTTAGATAACGCACCTTTTGTGTTAGAACTGACGGTCTAAATTAGTTCCTAATTTTTATTATTCGGTTAGTTCTCACGGTATATATATATATATAAAATAAAATAATAATCAAGATGATTTAATGAAATCAGTTGTAGTAATAGTAAATTATTGTCCCGCTATAATCAGCAAAATATTTTTATCAATTACATGTGTTAGGTGCAAAGTTTAAATTTTGAGCATGATTTTGTTTCATAATGAACATATATTTTCATTTTAAATGAGCATAAGTTAATTCTTTGAAATGAACATCTAGTTATCTTAAAATGAATGTTAATTATATTGAATATAAACGAATTATTATTATTTGTACACTTATGTACACTAACATGAGTTAATTAGTCTTAACTAAATTTAATATATAGGGCATCGTATAACTTATAAAGGAATATTATATAATAGTTAAACATACATATCAAAGCGAAAATGAACAATTTATATGCATCTATATAAACATGTATCAAAAAGAAATTTACAAGTATGTAGCACCAATATCCAAGTGATGGTGATCATAAACAAATCTAATTTTGACAATAAAATGAACGAGCATTAAAATACAAGTGATCACTATTAATCAATACGAGAATGTATATATATTACAATGCAAATGAACAATTATCAAAATTCGAATGGCATCTATAAATATGTGAATGAGTATATATTCTAATCATATATAATGAGAGTTTATCAAAATGACAATGAATACATATCAAAAAGAAAGTTTCATTATTAACTAAATTAAGGTCAAAATAATCATAAGAACTAAAATAATTAATATAGAGTAGAACAAATTGTACATAATGTTCAAATATTTAGGCCAACAACTTAATAATATAAACCACATATCGTGCATTAATGTAGCACAAAATCAGAGGATTCCAATCATTAACATGATTCAACTATAACTATAACAATCAGATCTAGTATATATATATATATATATATATATATATATATATATATATATATATATATATATATATATATATATATATATATATATATATATATATATATATATATATATATATATCGAGTTATAATGAGAACCTCTTGTATAATAGGAATTAATTAGGGTCGTTGGATCTAACTTAGATGCGCGCTTGATGAGCGGCCCAGATTAATTCACAATCAAGCGCACTTTCGGTCATTTTTCTCTCCTCAAGCGCAGCGATTACCCTACTTCTACTCCATTGAAGCGGATTTCGAGCTTTCTCTACTCCATTGAAGCAGCTTCTGAGGTTAGATGTTTGTTTTCCTCTTTTTTGAATCACGAATTTCAATTTCACTATCTATGGTTTATCGTTAATTATTTTGTCAATTTAGGATTCTTTATAGTGAAATTCGAGCTTTTGAGGTTATGAATGATTGTACGATTAATTTTGTTGCTAGAATTTCTAAACACCTAGATCTGAAAGTACTGTCATTCAAATTTATATGAATTTTTGTGAGTTTGTAAACAAGTCTATGTGAACTGAGTGAATTCGTACTATAAGTTTTTAACAATTGAATCTATATGATTTTTTTGAATGTTTTTAGCTTATGATTTGGAGCTCGATTCTAAACACTAGTGAGATTTTCATGCTGAATTTGTCTATTTTTTTTTACTTTACATTGAATTAATTTTTATTATTCAATTATTGTTGTTGATTTCTTAATGCACAGTAAGTGTTTGACAAAATGCCTCAATGAATCTTATTATTTAATCAATTGCAAATGTAGATAGAAACAAAGTAGAAGTAAATCAATTATATTTTATAGTAAATTGAAAAACTGACATTGTGATATATAATATATGAGCTATCAAAATCAAAGGGAATGTAGATTTTGGAATTAATCTATTGCAAATCGAAGTGAGATGGAATGAGCGTTGAATGTGCTAGATTTTTTTTGCCAAGATAATGGTAGAAGTTTAATCGATTTATAATAACATTATGGTAGACGTTGTTGCTGTTGTCTTAGTTTTGAGGAGGCCAAGAAGTAGGAAGATAGCTGCTTGTGGACTACTTTGTGTTGTTGTTGTGGTGTGGATAAGCTGGCAGCAAGATTGATGAGAGGAGAGTGGATTTTTGTGTAGGTTGAATTTTTATTCTAGAATCTGTAAAATTATAAGTGGAATTGAATATAATTCCACTAAAAGTAAACTAAATATTTTTTGTAGTAGATTAAATTGCTCAAAAAGTAGATAATCAATGAGTTTATGGTTGAGAATTTTTACCCCTTGTAATAAGCAGATAGAAATATGATACGAGTAAATCAAAAGGGGGGTGCTGGTATGCCCCTTCTTATAGCCTGGTCACCACCTAATAAGGGGTGGGGAAAGCTGAATGTTGATGCTGGTGTTGTAGGGGAGTTAGGGACTGGTCTGGGGGCAGTGTTGCGTGACTGTAATGGCTCGGTTCAGGGCTGTTCAGTGGTGAAGGGCATCGAGTGATGGGAGACAAATTTAGCTGAAGCTATGGCTATCATATGGGGTTTGAAATTTGCATATGACTTGGGCTGGAGAAGTATTATTGTGGAAGGAGATTGCCTTGCTGTCATTCAAGCTTTGAGAAACAAGTCAGTAGGATCAAGCTCATTGCATTTAGTTTTAGAGGATATTTTAGAGATGTCTTCAATGTTTGTTTGCGTTAAATGGTCTTTTGTTAAGCGCGGTGGGAATAGAGTGGCACACGAATTGGCTCACTTCCAACTTTGGGAGATCAGTCAAAGAGTGTGGAATAATGTAATCCCACCCCGTATTATTGATGTAGCTTGCTCTGATTTAACTATTTAGTCCCCTTTGTGGGTTCCTTCAAAAAAATAAAATAAAAAACTATAAGTATATTTCACCTACTTGTATAGTTTTGCTCCAACTAGTAGTGCTTCGTAACTATAAATCATCTTCACAATTTTTTCATCAACTAGTTGTGCTCATTATTGTGCTAATGAGAGTCGTATCTATGAAATTGCTATTAGTTGGAAGTCTTATTTTGCTATTATCTATAATATGTTGCTATAGTTTTGCTCTACTGTATCTACTGCAGTTCTACTCAATCTAGTGAGTTTGATTTTTACTTAGTGCTATGATTGTCGCCTATGTTGTTTTGTCATGGTGTGGTGTTTGGGAAAATATCCTTCCTAAAGAGTGATCCCATCAACTACTAAAATGCTCTTATGTCTGCATTTGTCCCTGGATATGTATATATGTGCTGCTTTATTTATTTGTCTTTATCAATCAAGTTTTAATTACCTTATTGTTGGCTTAATAAAGAATGATAAATTGCTAATATTATTAGCTTAAAGGGAGGCACTATGGGGTGTTTTGTAGTTGTTCTAAAATGGCAAATGCATGGCTACGCTCTAGAAAGACTTGGTTTTCATTTTTTGTGTTTTGTGTTGCATCAGATTTAAAGGAAGGTGTCAGCTTGATGAAAATAAATACTAAGCTAATAAAAATACTCTAAAGTAAATTAAATCTAATCTAAAGCAAATAAAAAAGATTTTAAAGTAAACCTATTAGCTCAAGTGGTAGAGCACTATGCGGATGCATAGAGGTGTAGGTTCGATTCCTACATAGGTTATCTCTAAAAGTAAATATTAGACACTCTAAAGTAATTCAAAACATCTCAAAAGTAAATCAAATTAGCTCTAAGGTGTACAAACAAAAGAGGTTGTTTTTTATTATCTTTGTAACATGAGGTTAACTCGATCCTATAGTGGACACACCTGCTCTCATTCCTATCACTCAGTTTGATGGATCAATGATGAAGGAAAAACTACACTAAAGTAAAAAAAATAAAATCTCAAAAGTAAATAGAAAATCTGAAAAAGTAAACTAATATATCTCTCAAGTAAATTAAAATAACTATGAAAAGAAATCAAAAGTAGAGTAACATATGTCAAAAGTAAATCATAATTAATCTAAAGTAAATACAAAATGCTAAAAAGTAAACTAAAATATCAAAAAAGTAAATAAATAATATCAACATTAAAGTAAATAATATTTATTCAAAAGTAAATTTGAAAAACTCAAAATTAAATATAAAAAAATAATATATATAATCTAATGGTTCGAAGCGTAAGAAGAACCTACGTGGGATTCGAACCCACATCTATTGTGCACTAGCACAATGCTCTACCTATTGAGCTTGTAGGCTAGTAAAAAATATTATTGAACATTCAAAGTAAAGAAAAAAGAAAAAAAAAAAGAAATCAAAAGTAAATTAATAAATCTCAAAAGTAAATAAAAATTTATATAAAGTATATGTTGCCTTTATTGTTTGTCATAATTAAGTCACACCCAATAAATCGATCGCGCACTATATTTGGCACGAGTCAGTAACACATGGAATTTTCAAGATAACAAATTGCAACCATAACCAATTAACTCTTCAAGATAACCAACATTGGAAGCATGGCATTCAAGCTCAACCTTCGCATACCCCAACTAACCTGCTAGCAACACACCTAGCCTCGCAGCAGCAATTTCAACCTGCTCCACGCTCCACCTTGCTCTCAAGTGCTTTACAGTAGTAGCAACAATACACCCAACCCCACCTGGTTTCTAGTAGCCAAGTGGGCATCAAAATTGATTTTTATAGCCCAGGCAACAGGGAGACGACAAGCCCCAGAGGTAGCAGCACTTGTAACCTCAACAGGCCTAAAAACTCTAGCAACATACTCGGATAAATCATGGAGTGACTTTGTGAAGTTATAAGAAATAAGTAGTATAGAGCTCATTGTAAGGGTTTTCAAATTAAAAGTAAACAATACAATACCAAAAGTAAATTAAGAAAAAAATCAAAAAAATTCAATTGCATTTATATAGTGAAGTCATTGAAAGTGATAAATGAGCATAGAACGAGTCATTTCCTTTTATATCGCTCTAAAAATGAGTAGTAACCAACCAAAAGACACGTATATGAGTTGAGGTTAAAGTAAAGGTTTTCAAATTAAAAGTAAGTAAATCAGTGTAAAAAGTAAATTAAATTACTTTTATGGTATAAAACTAATTAAA